CAACAAACTCTCAGGTAACACCATGGTGTAAGGAACAATATATTCTTTTGTTTCTGATGCTTGGGGACTGTGAGGTTCCCAACCAGACTTTATAGCCTGATGAGAATTTAGGGGAGCAGGGGATCTCTGTGAGTGCATTACAAGGAAGGAATAGATTTTACACTACACAGCGGAGACCACAGTACAGGTAAAATTGACAGAGCAGCAAGTCCAACGTGCAGGAATTTTTAATAGAACAGTTTGAAAAGATCTTATTTTGCTGACATATATGTCTTGGGAGATTTATTTTGACATCTAAAACACTCCACATTTGACTCATTGCACCTGTGAAATAAAAGTAAGTCAAAATTTATACCAATGAAAAAGTATTAATAAAGTTAATGGCTCAAAGGAATCAAATACTAATCATTTAAAAATCTTTCAAGTATAAAAAAAGCAAATGAGTTTTCCAGTTCTGGCCATATTGAACAAAAAGGAAAAGGACTCATGGACGTGGACCACAGTGGGTGGTTGTGGGGGGAGGGACGGGGTACAAGGGGACTTAATGATAATGGAAAAAATACAGTAAAATTTAAAAAAATAAATTGAGTTTTTGTTTATTTTACTATTTACCTACCTATGTCAGGGAATATATATAATATAGGAATATAGGAATATGATACATACTCCTATGTATTATGTATATAATACATAGATTCTGTCTTTAGGAAGCGAAACAATGGATTTAAAGATATCTGAATGAAATGCTTTATATCTCATCCAAACGTTTGCTGTTGTACACCCTGGGCTTTATTTATTGCATCTGTGGGAATCTGAAATACCTGAATTAAAATTTATAATCCCATAACTGCATGATTAATCTTCACAGTGCCAAATATCCAGAATATGAACCAAATTCAAATATTTGGAACCTCCTATATTTTTTTCTTTCTATTAAAGATTTTCTAATTTCTATATTTCATTTTTTAAGATTATTTATTTATTTATTTATTTATCTTTAGAGAGGGAAGGGAAGGAGAAAGAGAGAGAGAGAGAGAGAAACATCAGTATGTGGTTGCTCGGGGCCATGGCCTGTAACCTAGGCATGTGTCCTGACTGGGAATCAAACCTGCAATGCCTGGTTTGCAGCCCATGCTCAATCCACTGAGCTACGCCAGCCAGGGCTAGAATCTCCTATATTAATGAGAGCAATCTCTCATTAAACTATGTCTATCCAGTATTCATTGTTTTTCAAAGCCACTTATGAGTATTTCTCCTAAATACTAGTTTTATTTCTGATTGCAAACACAAATTCACTACATGTTTGTATTCATGCATAAATTTAAATCATGAATAAAACTGTACAGATGAAAATTAAAATTAATAACCTAACTCACAACATGGTGATTCTGAGTCAGATCTAAACTAGAAACCTGTATTTTAACAGCGCTCACCCCAGCGCACACACGCACACACACACACACACACACACACACACACCAGAGTGAGAACCACTGATTTAAACATTCTGTGCCTGAGATTCTCAAATTTTAATATGTACATGAATCACTTGAAGGTTTTATTAAAATAAAGAATCTGATTTAGGAGCCTGGGTGGGGTTCAAGGTTCTGCATTTAGTATTTCTAGCAGTTTCCCAGAGATGCCCCTTGTGCTGTTCAAAGCTCTTGGTCAGGTGGCTTTCTAACAATTTTAGGAAAGCTTTAGAACATTTTCTGGCACTGTCTTCCAGAAATTATTACTCAAACAAAAAAAAGTTTCCATTATGGTAAATTAATTTAAGAGTAATATCAATTGTAGCTCTTTCCTCTTATAAGATTGGAGGGAGTGAATGGTGACAACTGTACTTGAACAGCAATTTAAAAATGTTAAAAAAAAGATCATTTTTTTAAACTGAAGGACCCAAGAAGGAGTAATCACTTCTAAAGTCTATTTATTTAAATAGGTGCCTTTAGCTAGAAGTTTAAATTTGTATTTGCTCTTAGCCCGTTCAACTGTTAAGTCAGTTTTCTCGAATCTTTATCAATTTATTTCTATACTGGTGTTCTCATGGAGCTCACAATTGTACAGAATGGTCAGAGTTCTTCACTCCTCGACTGTTCACCTAGAAATGTGAACATTCTTGACTCCGAAGAATCACAGAGGATAAAAACAGCCAACGTTGAATGAGAGAGGCTCCTTTTCCCTTTTTTAAGACAAATCTGGGCACAATCCCAGATTATGCATCGGCCCTATTAATTTAGACATCAGCTGGAAAAGCTCTAGAGAATAAAAACTTCATCTGTAGGGGCTCATTATTTTTCTTCCTGGAAAACATCTGTTTTGAGTCCTTCGTAGCCTGTATTAGACAAAAGCGGGGAGCAGCATCTGTAGAATCAGGCTTAGTGACACGGTTGGAGCTGTTGTTATCAACCAAGGTGGGCTCTTGATAGTAATAACTGTAATAAAACTCTTTTCAAAACTATGTGCCGGGTACTACGCTCAGCATTTAGTGAGTATTCTCTTATCCTTATGCAAAAGTGTGATACGAATACTAGTGTTAACTTTATGTTAAAAAGAGAATGTTGATGTTTAGCCAGGTTAAATAATTTGCACAAGGTCATAAAATAATGACAGGGACAAGAAGCCAGCACACAGACCTGGAAATTCCTAACTCCTAAATATATGCCCTTAATTTCTCTACTCTGTTTAAGCTCTCTGTGGCTAAGTAGGCATCTTAAAGTGTGAAAAGAAATGCATGACTGACACTTTCAAGTGAAATCAATATGATTATTGTTCTGGCATCCAATAGAGGATGCGATGAAGAGAATTGATGGTGCAATTCTGGAAAGTAACATTTCTTCTAAGCAAGTATCTGTCTCTCATCATTTCATTTGAACTGTGTTTCCTTCTTGTTCGCCAGGCAATAGCAATGTCAGTAATGCAGCACCATGAGGCTTGGGCCATTTATTTCTTAGTATGAGGAAGTGCTTTAAGCAAGCAAACCAAACAAGTGAATAATACATATCATCTTCCCTTGAAGAAACTTTAATAGGGTGTATTTGTCTGATAGAGAGAGCGAAAGAGAAGCTGGAGAGACAGACACACAGGAAGAAAGGGGAAGAAAGACGGATAATTTTTTTCTGAAATGGCCCTTTTGTATGACCAAATGAAACAGTAGTAAAATTCCATTGCGATGACATCTCATGTGCCAAACACGTTTTTTTTTTCCTCAGTGATTTATTGGAAGGATTTAGAAATATCTTAGAGAGATTGTTTTTCTTCTTAAAGTAGTAAGATTTGGGTCACAGGATTAGAGTTCCATTACGCAGGGTTCACGGGGCTCTAAAGAAAAGAGGAACTGGGGGTCGAGAGGGATTATCCTCGCAGAGAACTGGTCTCTGCTAGATGAAACTGGTCGGGCCCCCCTCCTCCAACCCCCCTCCCCCCCACTCCATTGGCAGCTATGGAAAAGCCCCCCTGCTACTAAATTGCAGGATATAAACCACTGCCTCTGTTGGGTGCTATGCAGATGTGTGGCTCAATTTACATGGTTCTTTTGTATAAAGGAATATAAAAACAGATTGCTCGCTTACTAAGTGGATTCATGCCAGTGATTTCTCTTGAAAGTTCATCTCCCTCACTCATTCTCAGGCCAGATTAATCACTTACTAGCTTTATCATCTATCTATCTATCTATCTATCTATCTCCAAGCTTCATATATAAAACATAGCCATATATATATGACTGAGAAAAATTGAAGAAAGGTGATAAATGTGGTTTGAGAAAAACATATATTTTTTAATGAGCATTATATATATATATTTAATTAGGGTAATGTGGCAGCGATTTGATTTCTGGCAAGATCCAGTCTATACCATATACTTAGGAAAATAAAGTGAAGATGGGGTGGGACATTTTATGTTTTACATTTGTTATGTTTCTCACCACAAACCACAGAAGTAACCAGTATGCACTGAGTGCTGATAAAAATGAAAATGGCAGCTTTTTGCCATTTTAAGGCTTTTACATTTTGTAAGGTTTTGCCTTACCTCTAGATATGGAAAATACAATTGTCTTGTGTGTTGGGGGGTAGGTGGGAGTGGGGGAGGGGGGATTGAACTTGGGGCAGGGGAAAGACAAGCTGCAGTAACTCTACTATCTTTCCAAAGTCAGCCTTAGCTTCTGGCCCAACCATGGGGATTTTCTGATACGTTTGGGCATGGAAGACTGAATTGCAGCATATTTTGTGGCATTCTGATCATTCAAAATATGTAATTTCATTTCTATGATTGTAATACATTAAGCAGTAGTATGAGTTTCCAGTTTAGGAGCTTTTGCTGTAGTAAAGAGTGGTTTAAAGTCTGCAACTACATTTTTCTTCATAGTACCAGGCTCTTAACAATCAAAGATAAATGAACCGCCCTTGCTTCAGTGCAAGTGAGAGGAAAAGTACACATACACACACCCTGGGGGAAGCAAAGGCAGCAAGACGGAGCTCTCCTCAGTAGTTCAATCCAGGAGGGAGAGTCTCGTCTGGCGGTTTGTGGGAGTGAATCTAATTATCAGTCTCTTACTTTCATTAATAGGTGGGAGCGAGTTAACGCCTCAAAGGAAAAAGAAGTAGAAATCATGCCTGAATTCTTAGACTACATTCTGACCGTTTAAGCACCACTTGCACAAAAATAGGTTCACCAATAGGTCCTTCATGAGGCTGGGAAGTTGGGCAAAAAGAATATCAACCATAGAAAAGGCAAAAGTAACTGGTAAGAAGTAGTCTACTTGTAGATGGGAAGGCAGAGCACTCTGAAAACCTGGAGAGTACACTTTTATGGACTGTAACCTACATCTGTGAGGTTTAACGATCCAGACTAATCCTCAGGTAGGAATTTTCACTGTAATCCATTTTCATTTTTATTCCTGTAACCTGGTTTCACTTTTCCCTTTCCACCAGTGCTTCGTGAGTAAGAGTTAACTTGGATGCAGTCTATGTGTTTCTTAACCAGTATTTTTGTTTTCTTAGCCTCACTAGCCAAAAATCTGATGATGACTATGAAGATTATGCTTCTAACAAAACATGGGTCTTGACACCCAAAGTTCCTGAGGGTGACGTCACTGTTATCTTAAACAACCTTCTGGAAGGATATGACAATAAACTTCGACCGGATATAGGAGGTATGTAGAAAACTTTTGTACTGTGGTATAGATAGACACTCATAAACAAGCCTACCACGTTAGAAAAAAGTCAGCATATTTCAAAAACCATAGCCATTTAAATGATACCTTCATTATATGTTATAAAATAGACAAAGAAATATACAAACAGCATTCCAGTTTGAAGGTAGGAGGGGCACCGATAAGTACAAATGAAGAAAGATAATTTTCAAGTGTTACGTGAGAACTGAACATTCATTTTTTTGGCTAGATAGCCCAGGCAAAGGCTGTAGAAGAAAATCGACAAGTTCTTTATGAAGTGACATAAAAAACAAACAAGCCAATAAGGAGAAAGGAGATATATCCATTGCCCATTGAAACAAACAACTACAAATTCTTAGTGGCAGGTCCGATGGCCAAGTCCAACGTTCAGAAGACAGAAGTGCCTCATTGGGGTGACAGCAAGGTTTTAGGTGTGAGGAATAGTGACGACCTCATTCCGCCACAGACAGTTAGGGCATGACCCCTTCAAGGAAAATGATACAGATGGGACAAATGTTGAACTGAAGCCCAGAATGACATTATGAATCTTTGTTCATTAAAAGCGAAATGAAAATGGAGCACGTGCATTTGGTCATAGATGTAACACTCCATTATTTTCAGTGTCAGACCTCTTTGACAAATAGGTGTGTGTTGGGTTTCCGTATGGTTTCCTTGTGTTGTCTGATTAGTCACAGAATCCACGAAGTCACCGAGGAAGATTGATTTAGCGATGGCTAGAGGCATACGTGCATACAGTGGGCATAAGAGGAATCAACAGGTGCAGCTATTCCAAAACAATTCACAATACTTGTTGCCCTTTTTATCTACTTCATGCTTCTTTTACATATTTTTCTGGGTCACAAATATTTTTATTTCTATGTGGGGCAAGTCAGGTTGCAATGCCCAAATAAATTTCAGGGTTTAAAGGAAAAATGGTAAAATTCAGGATATCTGAAAAAAAAAAGATAAAATCTGAGTTTTTCTGGTCTGTTCATCTTTGCACAAAGTCTTGAAAGGATGTTTAGTTATGGCATTTACAAGCTAAGCAGAGATACTTCTTTGAAAACCAAATTATTTAAAAGAAGCAAGTTAGTCACTGGCACCCAATTAGTTGCAAATTAACCATTTCTAAAATGGAAAAAGAAGTGTATTTCTAGAAAAACAGACTAAAAAATTGTGCTTCTCTATATGAACATATCTCTGTGCTTATCTCTGCAGTGAAACCCACATTGATTCACACAGACATGTACGTGAATAGCATTGGTCCAGTGAATGCCATCAATATGGTAAGATTCTAATAGTTTGTTATTAACATGTGGTATGAGGAAAATAGCAAGAAATATGCCAATAAAAGAATTCGGAAGCGAGAATCTTTCAGATCAGTTTTTTTCTCTCTTGCAATAAGGAGATAATTTTAATGATTTTTAGGAGAGTTCAATGTGATCATATCTATAAAATTAATTTGGGTAAAATGCTATATTCGAAATTCAACAATAATCATTCCTTTGTAAGTATTGCTTTCTACAAAATAAAATACAGTGCTCTAGTAATTTTTAGAATATTAATGGTTTAGAGAAGGCATCATTTGCTTTAAATCAGAATTGTCTCCCAGAGGAAATAATTGATCGAATATAACAATATAACTTTTTATTGTATAACCCTTTCTATCCAAATCTGAAATAAGAAACTAGATTGGAGTCTATAACAGAATAGAATAGAGTAGAACATTAACATAACTTAATATAATGTAACGTGCCCTGGCTGGCGTAGCTCAGTGGATTGAGCGCGGGCTGCGAACCAAAGTGTTGCAGGTTCGATTCCCAGTCAGGGCACATGCCTGGGTCGCAGGCCACGGCCCCCAGCAACTGTACATTGATGTCTCTCTCTCTCTCTCTCTCTCTCTTTCTCCCTCCCTTCCCTCTCTAAAAATAAATAAATAAAATATTTTTTAAAATTAAAAAATATATAATGTAATGTAACATAATGTAATGTAGTGTAATATAACATAACTAAAACTTTGAAACAATCTTCCTGTCTGTTCTTTATCATAAACTGGAGGTGGATTAAGTGGATTGGATTAGGAAATGTGGATGACTCCGACCCTTGGCTCTCACATTCTAAGAATACCGAAGTTTTCTTTTTTCAATTTTCTCATTTATCGGCATGATCAAAAAATCAAATTATAAAGTAACACTATATACTACTTAAATATGATAGTCAAACTGGAACTTGGGCATCCTCGATGCCAGGACTAATGGTCTGAATTCATATCATACTTCTCTTTGATTAAAGTCAATCCCTTGCCACTTAGCGGTAGATCCTTGAGCGTATTCATTACAGAGTAATTTATCATCATAGCACTCTGGCACTTTGAGACTACGCTTTGCAATGGAGATTAGTACAGTATTAAACATTATTATTAATTGGTTTATTTCCCCGTGTTTAGAGGAAAAGACAACTACAGTAGTTTTAAAAAGGGAAGGCCATCTTATGCATTGTGCCGGTGTTTGCTATCTGCCGGATACAATGCAAAGCACTTCACGTGTATTCTCTTTTTCTGTCCTCACACTGCCTCACGAGATAGGTTGTTTCATGTCCTCGTTTCCTTATGAGGTGATGGAGGCTCCACAGCTCCAGTTTAGGACTGCTTAATTATTCTGGACTTTCACTCTACAGCAGTGGTTCTCAACCCAGGTGGCTGCTTTCCTTGAGGCATTCAGCACTGTCCAGAGGAAGTTTTGAGTTGTCACAACTTGGGGTGGGGGTGAGGTTGGTGTTGGCGCTAATGACATCTAGTGGGTGGAGACTAAGAATTCCACTAAGGATCTTAAAATGTACAAGACGGCCCCCACAACCAGAAATTTGGCAGCCCCAAATAACCCGAGAGACCTGGCTGGTGTGGCTTAGGGAATTGAGCACTGGCCTGTGAACCAAGGGGCCACAGTGGGATTCCCAGTCAGGGCACAGGCCTGGGTTGTGGACCAGGTCCCCAGTGGGGGGCACATGAGAGGCAACCACACACTGATGTTTCTCTCCCTCTCTTTCTCCCTCCCTTCCCCTCTGTCTAAAAATAAATAAATAAAATCTTTTAAAAAATAACCAGAGAAACTGTGCTGGATAGACACCAAATCAAACAATGGTATCAGGGCTATGATCTTTTGTCAAAATTCATTGAGACCAGTCCTTTTATCTCCCCCTTTAAAAATATCAACTCATCTATAAGAGATGAGTGAGTGTCCTTAGCAAAGTCTTTGCTTTCTTTGGGACAATTTAAAGCCAAAGTAGCTCAGAATGGCAATGAGAACAAAAAATGACGAACACAAAAAATGTTCTACAAGATAACCCCACTGCATTACAAATGTTGTGTTTCGCCGTTTTCTTTATCACAGGAATATACAATTGATATATTTTTTGCCCAAACATGGTATGACAGACGTTTGAAATTTAACAGCACCATTAAAGTCCTCCGACTGAATAGCAACATGGTGGGGAAAATCTGGATTCCAGACACTTTCTTCAGAAACTCAAAAAAGGCCGATGCACATTGGATTACCACCCCCAACAGGATGCTGAGAATTTGGAATGATGGTCGAGTGCTCTACACCTTAAGGTATTCTTTTGGAAGAAGATATGAGTAATTGCTGGGAATAAAACAAAGATCAACCTCTTAAGACAAAAAAGAAAGAAAGAAAGAGAAAATTTCAGACCAACATCAGGGTTGGCACATTTGATCAAAATAGTATGTGACAGTACAAAATTAGTTTTTCTTTCTGTTGTCAATGAGCTTTTTGAAAGGACTAGGAATAGGTCAAACTTTTCTTCTGACTGATGTGAGAACTCATTTTCTCTTTCTCACGAGTGCATGGAACCCTGGCTGTTCTTAGACCTCCCGAGCTCTGCATCAACCTTGGCTTTTGTATGTGTGTGTCCTGCAACTTTAAAATATGGAAACTAAAACATAGTCATCTTTGGGACCACTGGTTGTTATGCTTGGAAATGTCTCCGTTTCCAAGGAAACTATTGCAGAAGGAGATTTTTTGATGTGGAAGTCTGCTGTATGCTTTCTCTTTTCAGCTATACAATGGCAAGTAACTACACTGAATTCTGTCTCCCAGCACCCACCCCCAATACAGTGACAGGCTGTTTGAATTAATTTATTGGCTATTTTGGAAAGACATTGTTTGGGAAAACTTGGAGCTATTTTTTTATTTCCTGAACTTAAAAATAAAGTAACATTTGGGAGGTTTTCTACTTATACATGCCATTATCTTAGCACTTTATGCTTAGATGCATATTTTTATGCTGATGTTTTTCATTGGTGAGCATATATTATCAAACAACATAATAGATAAGTACATGCACTTACAATTCAGACATACCTGGCTTTAGGTCTTAGCTCTATACCATGCTACCTATATGCATTAGGGCATCTCTCCAAAATTTCTAGGGGCCAACTATTTGATAGCACAGGTGTTAATGCTAAAAGATACATCTCCAAGCTTTATTTGTATAGTAAGTTTGATGTTTTTACTTGGTTACATTTTTATTTAGAGGAATCAGATGGGAATTGAAGGGATTATTGGAAAGCAAGGCACAACTACCCCACCACACACTGCCCACCCAACTGAGCTAACTCTTAACTTTTCTTTCTCTAATTTTGTAAAATAGACAGTGATTCTTATCTTACAGAGTTATAAGGACTAAACGGAGTGATGTGTGAAGTGCTTAGACCCTGATATATAGTAAGCACAGAAGACACTAAATTTATTCATGTATATTTTTAGTAAAAGGTATAAATACGATTCTTCTAGGTCTTGGTATTCTGGAACTTCTAGCTTCAAAATGATTCATGTTAAATGCCCTTGTGACATATACCTTATACCTTATATAATATTCAACATACAAAATAAAATATTTTAAAATGGCTTCAGACCTTTAAATCAGTTAAACAGAGTTATATCAGTAACTAGGAAAAATGGCTGTAAGTTTAGAAGAAAGTCATTGCACACATTTTGAACGCATCATGGCTTTTATTAAATGTGAGATAAGGTAATGACTGGAATTAGAATCCAGTAAAAATAAAAGTTTGTCTCATAAATCAGAGCTCAGTCGAGCTTTTGAAATATTGTCGATCACACTATCTCAAGTCTGTTTATGTTTTCATAATGTTATAGTCATTTTTTCACTTCCATTGATTTACAGAATCACTATACAATATTTAACTCAGAAACTACCTCAGAAATGTCACTCACAAAAAATCCAAAGTTTGAATGAACTGCCAGTCTATGCTGAGAGACGATTTTGTTGTTCTTATCCATAAGTTATGGATGTGCATGTGCATAGCTATATATATTGTATTTATCTGTTTCTGCAAACTATATTATTTTCATTTTAATAATTCCAGTATAATTTAGAAAGATAGCACTAAAATATCTAATTTAATTATAATTTTACTTGTGAATAAAACTAATCTTTTCTTTGAAAGAGCATTTAGCTATTGAGTGGCAATGATTAAAATCTCCAGCTTTGGAGATACATAATCTTGGAATTAGCTCACAAGTTTTGGCAAGTTCAAGTACAATAAAGCCATAATAACATGTACAAACTGAGAAGACAATTCACTTTTACTCAGTGTCATATAAACAATTAATGTCTCAATGTTTATTAGTTATGTTTTAAGGTCATTAATTACCCTATTATATTATAGAAAAATAATCTCCCCAATTAAAAAGTATGCTAAATTGAAAAATATTTTAAAATATTCATAAGATAACATTTCATTACTTCATGATCGACATCATTATAAAAAATAGAACTAATAAATATGAAATTTAAGATATCCTCAGTTATTACCAGTATAATTTTAGAATATGTTCATTTGTCTCCAAAGGTAATCAAAACATCTGAACACCTTTAAATTTCATCCTTCCTAGTACCCCAGTTCACTGAGGTGCAGAAAACGTGCATGTTTAATAAGCACCCCAGATTTAAACTATTTGAGACTCATTGGAAAATATATTTCTAGTATATCTATGTTTAACATTTTCTGTTTGCCACTACATATTTTTATACTCTATAACATCCTAGTTAATGGCTTCAACGTGTTCCATTGTAAGAATGCATAATACTCCATTGTGAAACATAGGTAATTGTAAATTCACATATAGTAATTTAAAGCTAACAGCTAATAAGCACTTACAAACAGAAGGTTCTGCTTTAATTAGCAGATAAGATCTGAGAATCATCAGCATTCATTTACATGCAAACAGTAAATGAGCTTAAGTTCTTATAACAGTTTGTTCTGTTAAGTTAAATATCTCCACTGAGCAATCTCCTGTGAGCAATTAATTTCCCCCCCAAAAAATAATAATTGCATGATCCTAAGCTTTGAAAAAATGGAGTCGAGGTCAATGTGAACCTATTGTTTGGTCTGTGAAAATGAATGGATCACTTTAAGTCTTAAATACTTTTCTCCTGGACTTGGCAGATTTCTTCAGTGAAAATCATTTTGTGTTATAGGTAAGAATGTGAGATATACTCTCCAGGAACAAAGATGAAGAATGGGCATTAGAAATTGTGCTAATGTACATTTTGAAAACTGTGTCTCAAATCTTTCTACTTATGTTTCATATTTCTATTGAGATTGACAATTGACGCCGAGTGCCAATTACAGCTGCACAATTTTCCAATGGATGAACACTCCTGCCCCTTGGAGTTCTCCAGTTGTAAGTAGTATTCATTTGCATTCTGTATCCCCTCTCACTGTAGTCTAATTGCAATGTCAATTAATTGGGAGATTCACAGAGAATGCAAAATTGTATTACGCGATGTTGTTCACACTGAAGATTTTGACAGTTTCTTTCATCATACCACCAGCTTGTCCCTATTAGAGTGATTCTTGCAAAAAGGAACCTAATTTATCAGGAAGTATTAAAAAGTTTCATTGCAGTATAAACTTTTAATAAATTGGCAGCTGTTGCCAGGAGCCCTTTGTTGGGCTGAGAAGAATTACGAAGCCAGACCTGGATTGAACAGAAAGGGGTAATGGTGAATTATACACCCCCCTCCCTCCATGGGCTCAGGAGAAGGGAATAACAGTACATTTGCTACTTATTTTTTCCCCTACCTGTCAGGGCAAGCAGAGATCCAACAGTGTCATTTGCATACTTCAGTTTTGTAGCCCTGTTAAAGAGAACAAAATCAATAATTACCTCTTCCTCCTGGAGTTCTAGTAATACCTGGAACTAGTTATCCACCAGTGAGTAAAAGACTGATTTTTTGGTATTGTTTGGGTCTAGTTCAAATTCTGAGTCTCTCTCTCTGGAGTTGAGCAAATTGCTAAATCTCCAAGTCAGTCCCCATTCCCAGGTACTCACCAGAGATGACAAGATCTCACCCATCGCAGTATTGTTTTGTTGATGTAATGTATGTAAAATGCTTGATATGCCACTGCGACACTCAGGATTCACCAAAAAGCTCTATTTGTTTTATTATTATCATTATCACCGGACAACAGACTGCAGTAAGAACATCCATAATGATTCTAACACAAATGACCTTGCCCTTTAGTAACCTTCACAGACATTTCCTGCCTGAATCAAAAACAAGCCTCGGTTTCCCCAAAGTGTTGGCCTCACTTCTTGTTCAGGTTGCTTGCCTCCTCCTTATTGCCGGTCTGCCAACCATGCATATCAAGCAATGAAAACTGATTATACATTTTAAGTTTTTATTTTCATAAATACAATTGCCCAGCTAGGGAGTGAGGGAGACTCCTAAGAGCCATGAAATCATAATAACCATATTATAAAAAATCAGCAATGAGAGAAACAATCATTTGTTTATCATTGCATCCATTCCAGAGGGAACTAGAAGAAAAATATCATATATACAGGGTGGGGCCAAAGCAGGTTTACAGCTGTTTGTATGGGAAGCAATACAATAATTAATAAATAATAATACAAGAGTAATCTCTGTGTTTTATGCACTCACAACTGCAAACCTACTTTGGCCCCACCCAGTATTTAAAAAGTTTCCATCATAAAATGTATTTCATATGTGTTACCTCATCCAAGATTAGGATATTTTTAAGTGCAAGCTTCCACAAGCTTTAGGAGGCTAGACTTATTTTCTCTTAATTTCTAACTGGGATTACACGTCTTCTGAATCAGCTAAAGCTTAAGAACTGGTGATTCCTGCGCCATCACGCCACCGGTTGGCAACTGCCTTCTGAGCCCAAACACAACTTAATATCACTTATTGCTATCCAAAAAAATAAGTCACAGTCACATGCTCCGTAGGGAGATCCCTAATGTCATCGCTCTTTTCCTCAGTTTCCACACATCCTGCCTCCCCCCCTCTGCTCTACAGTACACGAGGGTCCTGCTTTCTCTTTTCCTTCTTCTTAATTAACAGATACATACCAGCCAAAGAGCTGGGCCAACAGAAAAGACAATGAGGACCAGGAAGACACATAAGGGATCTTACTCTAAGTAGTGAATCAGCCTCCACAATCAAGACATCGTTTCATAACATCGTTAGTAGACAACAGTTGAGATGATTTCTAGTTTTTTCCCGTCCCTCTCTACTTACCTATTTTTACTTGAGTTTATTGTACAGTTTACTTAATAGTAATGTTTATCCATTAAAAATACACTGACTATTAGTTTTAGGAAATAAGTATCATCATCATCGCCATAAGGAATCCAATAATTTAGAAAAAAATTAAACTTGTCTGGGGTGCTGGGCTTGGAAATGGTGCTGACAGTCACTGCATCATCAGTGTGCAGCCTCTTTCATGAAGGCCTTCCGCGCTCTTGGCCGAACCAGACAGACCCTTTGGAATCTGTGCAGTGCTCATTGGTACCTTCCCCTTGATGTTTCTACCTCCTGCTTTCATTGTAGACTTCTGTTTATAGCGGGATAAAGTCCCAAGAAATTGAGAGAGTGGACAAAATGTAAATGGTTGAGGTTATTTTTCCCGACCACCTTCCACTCTGGAGAAGAATTTGAGTCTGCCCTTCTCTCAGTATTTTCTGTGTCTGCAGGACTCTCCCAGCCTTGCCCTGGTGGACTCCCCTTCACCCTGGAACAATTCCTTACATATGTATTATTCATTATATACTGACCACTTGTTATATCTTACCCAGACAGTGTAAAGTATGCATATAGTATATATTAAACCGTGTATAGTATACCTTCTACGCAATGTAAGTGACTTTCAAGGATGCTTTTGACCTCATGATTTTTAAATCTAACTTCCCATTAGGATATGATGTCATTGTATTTATTTTCTCCAGGGTGAGGCTCTTTAGTCCAGGATCCTCATTAAGTCATAACTTGATCTTTCTCAGTACTTTCCTCAGTGTCTTATTATTGGAGGTGGTTGCTTACGTATGCTCATTTACAACCATTTTAAACGTGTGCTTCCCCATCTCATGGCAGATGGCTATCCTCGGGAAGAAATCGTCTACCAATGGAAGCGTAGCTCTGTTGAAGTAGGTGACACAAGATCTTGGAGGCTTTATCAGTTTTCATTTGTCGGGCTGAGAAACACCACTGAAGTAGTGAAGACGACTTCTGGTAAGATACACCTAAAGAGAATTCTGAGTGATCCTTCAAGAGCGAAAATTCTGATGTACATGATTCAGAAGGTTTTCCAATACCTGTGTACAAGTGATACTCAGAAAATTAAAGTGTTTTAATTTTCTAGAAAAAAATATAATGGGTATTCTAGTATAATAGATAAATATAAGTGCACTCTATCAATTCAAAGCAACTTACATTCAAATTGAATTAGTGAATTATTTGCTTAATTAGTGAAAAATTTGCTTATTTGCCTAATTGTTACTTAAAATAAGTAACAATTATTCTTAAATATATTTATTAGGTATAAGTGTAATGTTTCTTTTAAGAAATATGTTTTATATTATATTTGAAATAGAATATTAGAATAGAACATTAAATTGAAAATTTAATAGAATAGAATAGAATAGAATATTGAAAAAAAACATTTAAAGTAATAATACAAAAATCAACTCTCTACAAATGTAGAAAAATGACCATAATGAATATGGACGAATTCTCCATTCAATAATTTAATGTATCAGATACACTCCATCACTGGATAAGGGACTGCACTTTGATATCAAACAGGCCTGGGTTCAAATCCCAACTCCATCAATTACTGGCTGTTGATATTGAGAAAATTACTGAATGTCTCAGGGCATCAGTTTTCACAGGTAACCAATGTGGACAAAATGATCTGCATCACAGACATTCCGTGTGTAGGGGGAAAAAAGTAAAATGCTTAGAATGACATCTGGCACTTAGTGAACATTCAGTAAACAGTAGCTCTTACTCATTAATATTAATTATAACTATCAAGTGTGCATGACACTTAATTGGGTCAGGACTTCAGATTTTTTAAGATAAGCCAAAAACATGTTACATTTATATATTTATATTATATATATTTTATATAAATATATAAAATATATTTTATATTAAAATCCCATGACTTTAATGGTATGAATTGAATTGATGTAAAAAATCTACGTGAGGCAAATTAAACATATTTGCAAACTAGATCTGTCTTCTGGTGGCAAGTGTGAGTCTTCTGCAATGCTGAGCATATACACATACAGATTATTCCACCTTTCAAAATTTAATATGACAATTTAAATATGCCCCAATTTCAAATATAAACCTTGTGTCCTTAGCTTATCATCTATTCAGACTGTCTTCCCACTAGCTGAGCTGTTTTCTGTTGATTTACTCACACATACCTGATATTTTTCCCTTGGAATTTGTAAGACACCGTTTTGTGTTGACTCATTTGGAATAAGGTCTTGGTCTTCTGTACAGAGAAAAGCAAATTTAGGACCTACACAAAGATGGAAACTTAAGAGTCTACCTCCATAAAAATTTAAAATTCTACCTTTAAGATTCTCTCATTCAAAGAGCTATCTGGCCCTAATACTATTTTTCAGCAGTTGCAAATTTCTCCTAAACATGCTTTCACTTTGAAAAAAGGAACCTGAAAGAAGGTCAAAGAAATGCCCGAGTACATTTTTTGAAAAGGTCCCTTCTGCTCCTTTATTCACTGGAAATCCTGACCACCAAGTACTAGAATAGAGTTGCATTTGGTGCCAAAGAAAGATGCTCAGGATTGCCTTAGGAGTAAAGTCTTCCATCTGTGAGGGAAAGGACATGTGTAAAAATAATCTCCAAGTCTGCATGCTTCCAGAAAGAGAAATTGAGCATCAAGTTCTGCTGTATATTTATATTTCCATACTTATTCCAGCACCCTAAAACAGAACCCACAAATTCATGACTAGTCAATCTTTTGTTCAGCCATTTAGCCCAGAGTAGCATTAAAATCAAAAGTTGATGAGGGAAGGTTTGGGTTTATATCACAGGTCCTAATATCACCCCCTTCCCACTGTCCAATATTGAGAATGATCTAGAGTAGTTACTATCTATTAAGAGATACTTCCAGAGGAAAATGATCCACTCATTTAAAGCATGGTAAGAAAAATCAGCAAGGCGTCACAAAGCTATTAAGCTTCCTAGGGAAATCAAGCCAAACTGTGTTGGTATCAAATTTAATATTGAGTAGCATCATCTAACTGATTGCATCAGCTCCTTGTGAATTTTATTGTAGTAGTTAGCTTTCACATCGGTCTTCTCGTCCACACTCTGCTCTCTTGCTGGTTGGTGTTTAGCGTGCAGCACTATTTCATTTGTCTCTGCGAAGAGGGTTGGACTGAAACGTAAAGCCAGTGCCACGAGACAGCCTGATTCTTGTGACAGTAGATTTTGTAATGACTACAAGTTTCCACGGGGTCTTTTGTTGGATTTGTGATGCCATTCCTGCTTTTGAGCATAGCTCCGTAATTAGTTAATATCTACTAAGAAGTTATGTTAACAATTTTTCTTGGGAAAGTGTTAGAATATCAAACTTCTAGCCCTTTTTCAATTCCAGCCATTAGAGCAATGTGGCTTTCTCCTAGGCTTATAGTAAATGTCCTCCTTTAAGAAGCCTTTGTGGAAACAGGATGAGAACATTTGCTTAAAATGTTACCTGGCTGACCGTAGGGGGTTTCTAACCTTCAGTCATATAACCTCCCCTTTCATGACTTTGTTATATCCAAGTGACTTTATTACTGGTTTCTTAGTATTTTTTCTTTGATTCATTGTTATTCATTTAAACATTTTTACAGGAAAATTCATATTAAGGCCATAGTCATAAACCAGACATTTGACATAAATAGAAATTGATATAAAAATTTCATAAAAACAAATGTTTAAAAAACTTTTTTAATCTTCTTAAATTGTAAGTGCATATATATTTGTGTTCCCCAGACTCTGAGTATGTTGAAAAAGATAGAAAGAGAGGTATCAGAAAAATGGGGGAGTACAGCTAGCACCAAAGTGACAAAAATTCTTGAGTAAATAGGGCAGAAGGAGTGTTTCGCAGAAAAGAAATTTCTTACCCATGGAAATTAACGCTATTGATAACTCCTGCATCCACCACCCAGATCATCCACTCACCACCATTTGTATCTGTATCACACGGGAAAAATAGTGCCTTGGTGGCAGATTGATAAAACTTGAAGAATACCTTTTCTTCATAGTCAACAAGACTTTGGACCCATAATTCCTGCTCCAAATCATCATGTTTTCCTGATTGTTCTATATCTGGTAATAGTGAGCCAGGCACGAACACTCAGAGAGCCACGTCTCTGCCTCCCACATCTAATGAATCATGAAGGCACTTATGCCTCGGAAATATCTTGTGTAACTGTCCTCTTTTCGGTTGCCATCACCACTGGCCTAGTTCGTGATTTAGTCTGTTTTCCTCGGGCCTGTGTTGGTAGCCTATGAAGTCACATCCCTGGTCTGTCCCTCTCTTCTATAGTCCATCATTTACACACCAACCAGAAGAGGTAGCCTTTCTGAGTACTAACTACATGCACAGCAAGCATTTTATATAAACGGCTTACTTTAATTCTCATAATCAAAGTCATATTTGTTTACTGTCATCAACGCTGTGGATACCGCCCCGTGTTACTCCCACTGTGGCCCAGTGCATCCTTCTGAGGCACGGCTTTCACCATGTCTCCAGAATTCAGTGCGTGCCATACGCACAAGCGATTTGCTTCTAATATGTGAGCACCAGTCTCAGGGGCTTTCTAGCCTTGTTTTCTGTCATTTCCCAGCATGTGATGATCTGCTATGGTTTCCTGAATATAACTAGCCACTCCCATATGCACCTGCTGAATCTCGCTCTCCTTCCTCTGTTGACAGTTTCTCCATTCATCCCCTTCCTCCTGGTGACTTTAAGGTTTAAATAAGCAGCACTTTCTCAGTGAAGCCTTCACTGACCTTATCCCCAACATGAATTCAAACAGTTTTTACGAATGTGTATCCTTGGAGTCAGGCAGCTCAGGTTTGATTACTGGCTTGTATAAATTATTTAACATATCTAAATTCAATATCACTAATATTGCCAGTTTGCTCTGAGGATTGAGTGAGATCCTCCAATATAGAAATTTGGAGACATTTTTACTCCATAAAAATGCTTAAAACTTTACCTGGCACATAGAAAGGACTCAGTAGATGAAAGGCATTATTAATTATTGTTATAATCATGATTCCATTAATTACCCTCATCATCTTTTCACCCACCTGATGAAAACACTTTCTGCCTCATGTTGCCTGGATATTCATTTTCCTCCCTTTCTGCCTACTCATTCCAATAAATCACCAACTTCACAGAAGAAGCCGTTCCATAATCATCTTTGCATCTATGATGCTGATAGCATGGTGGCTTGCTCGGAGTTGTTAATTACTAGGTAACTGCAGAATTGCTTATGACAATTATATTGATAAAACTCTATGTTTTTTTTCTCAATGTAATAAGCAATGCAGAATCCTAGTACGTATTTTTCCATTACTCATTGCTTCTTTTGAAGGAGAAGATTTTGTTCTTTCTGGTCATATTCCTATTTCCTGTTCACTAAATTATCTGCCCAATTTTTAGTATGAAACAGAACTTCGTTCCTCCGTATTCTCACTGTGAAATGTGGGCTAGAAAAGTGAGAAAATTAGTTTCTTATGGAAACCTATATTCTTGGGATCCAAATGCCATCATTTTGATTCAGAAATAATATATCCTAGTCTCCCTAAATTAGAATACCATTAAAACTCCCATATTGTCTTAAGCAGTGCAAATATCAGTGTTTCATGAAATATCATCATAAATTTTTTTAATAAATCAATGTAGATTAATTATTGTTCACTTTCTCTTTGTCTTGAACATATTTTTGGCTTAGATTTCATGTTCTACTTATATTTTCCTGATTTTCAGTATAAGAAACACATAAACATTAAAATTTTACATACCACTAAATTTATCTTACTTTTCAACAGTGACATGCAGACCACAATTTTAGAAAAGTCAACTCTGTCCATTCAGTCCCTGGGCACGGCCAGCTTTCTAAAATCTGTGCAACCCACGCTACCTTCCAACCTTTCCCTCTCTGCTCCCAGCTCGTCCTGTATCTCCCCTGAGGTTC